CATGCTACAACTTGCTAATTTACTCGAGGCTTATTCATTCAGAATTTTACTGTCATCACAGGATTCCCTGATTTTCTATTCCAAAATCAACAAAATTCATGAAAAGTGACTGATCTCGTGAGCAGACATTCTAAGAATTCCGAATATTAGAGGTAGGTACCTACCTAGTGTGGAGTCAGTAATCTGTGAATAGGTAATGAAAGTTGGTGACATTTGAATAATTTCAGATTATACCTACATTATGTTTAGAAGATCTGGAAGCTAATATAGACTCATAGCCAAGGAACCCTCCCTAAAATAATAATTTGCTGGTCCACGTACAGAATGATAAGACAGTTAGCTTTCGAATTTAACTAACAAGTGAGAGTTCACTGCTCGAGATTTTGTGTAAATGTACTATTCACAGCAGAATATTATTAGTCAGTGGAACTATTGACACTTCTGGCAGTTAAATTCGCAAGATAGTCTCTCTCATTTAGCAGAGTTCACACTCAATATTTTCAAATTAGAAAAAAAAAACAGTCTCAAATTCTTGTGTACGACTGTCACTTGTCACTGTCACCGATATAACATCTGTTTTGAGGAAAATTTCCAATGGTGTCTTCCACTCTCAAGTGCCTAAAACGACCACCTACCATTGAAATTAAAGTTCTTTCACTAGAATAAAAATGTAAGTACAAACATTCTCGCTCGATATACATGGTGAGTTAATAGATTTTATTCAATCGAAATCGGGTGGTGAAATCAACCATAATAAGATGAGTGATGGACATAGAGATAACATGAGTATCTAAGAAATAGTAACAGGAAAACTGTTGATCAAAACAAGAACACAAGAAAACCTAAAAAAAAAAGTACATACACCTATTTTTGTTCAGATGCTATAACAATAATTGACTCACCATATATACCCAGGTAGCAAACATCAACATAACAAAATTTTGTGCTCTAATTTCGACAATAACTTACAAAAGCTAAGCAAGAACAGTTTACGGTTATTGCTGGAGCAGATACAGTTTTTTTGTGAAATCCAGGCACTAACGGCTGATTGTAAAAAAATGAGTACAATAAGCTATGACAGATCATGGACTGTCCACTTAGATTCCACACGACTTTCTCTAGAAGAATTGAAATGTTTAATATAAATCTCACCGATTTCATATTTCTACCCCACATCACTGACAACAACTTGAATATTCCAATGAAATGAATGAAAGTAAATATGTATAGTTGCGATTAGTTGAGGAAGCTGAGGGATGACTACACTATTTTCTAAATTGGTATGTCCATAACCCACTGTACAATACATACTAACATTTGCAGATTTTTCTATTGGACATTTGAATGAATGAATTATATCTTGGCACCTCCATAAACATAGCAGAACCATTTCAGAGTGTTTACCATGATAAAAATATTATTGCAATCAGCAAAAAATCAGTGACTTCCTCACAAAGGTACATAGTGGATCTTTCTGCTTCATATAATCCTAGCAGAATCAAAGATTAAAAATGAAAAAGATGAGCGACATATATTACGGATAGTTGAAAACTTAAAATCCAGATATGGTTGTGCTTTATAGAGTTCATCTTGGCACTAAAAGTGATGCATCTTTTTCTACAGGATGAAGTGTACTCTTCAAAATAAACTGTTTCACAAAAAATCGCCAGAAATAAAGTTCCAAAACTCACACATCCTGTTTTAGCACTGACATAATGCGACAGCAGCACTTTAAAGATACACTGAGCGCATTGTTCATTAAATGCACAGAGAAATGATGCCGTTCGATACAATACAATCCATATTAGCAATCAAAATACATGCACCTTTGAAAACAGAACCCTGTACGTATAGCCCATGACTTGTTTTGAAGTACGATTGTTTTGGCTTTATGTATCATATACAAAATGAGAATGAGGAGTGTCACATAGCCAAATGTGAGATAGAGGAAATCAAGACGAGTTTTTTTGGCATTTATAACGAAGATATAGGGTATTATGTGAAATTGCCATAGAACTTTTATGACCGATATCCAGATCTTGACTTGGGAAAATTCATGTTTTATTGTTATGCCAAAAAATAAGTTCACTGTTTATGATCACTTTTCTTGAAAATTTTTATCAGATTCAGAAAAATATTACAAAATGCCATAGGAACTGCTCTTCAATTTGCACGGCACACTTTGACTGGCAATTTCACATAATAATCTTCATTATAGATGTCCAAAAAAACTTTCATCTACATACATCAACTCATCTTGATTTCCTTTATCTCCCATTCGGCTATGAGACACTCCTCATGAATCACCCTGTATGTGAAAGAGAAGAAAATATTTAACACTCATCACAAAGTATTTTCAGTATTTTCATGTTATCGGATTATAAGAAGAGCTGAATTGAACTTTTCTGTGTATTGGAAGCAATTTTAAGCAGCTCATACATTTTTTGTAACACAAGCCAGAGTCGATGAGGAATTATTGAATCTCTAATGATGTGTAATTTATAGACGATAGACCACAAAGAGCAAGAAGGTAATGAAAAAGAAAAAGATTGAGGTAAGTATCTCAGATGAATAAGAATGAATACTTTTGATGTTTAACTTTCGTCCTGACCCAGGATATATTGTTTTGAAAAAAAAAAGGATATAAAGATTTGGAGACTGGTTGGATACTAAAATAAGACATACAGAGGGTGTTCCACTAATATTGTACAAAACTCCGAGTTCATATTTTTTTGGGTCAAAATGAGAAAGAAAGTTTATATAAAAATATGTCCGAAAACAATCCATTTCCGAGATACAGAGTGCTCGAGTTCCTTCAAAAATCGATTTTTTATTCATTTCTAATAAATGCCTGAACCGATAGTGATAAAATTCACAATATCTGTTGAAATCACAGGTATTTTGTGGACCTAATACAGTTGTTGTCCGGGCAAATCCAATAGTTTTTTGCAAAAAAAAATAACACCTAGTAGTTTTTATCGTATGTTTCATATCTGGCTGCGTTTTGGGAGTAAACAAACAAAAACCAAACCTATGTATGTGAATCCGATGAGAGAAAAACTATAATAATCAAAATCTGGTTTCCTATTTACTAAATCAATCATGTGACCATGGCGAAACAAGAATCAAAGTAAACTAGAAATTAATAAAACATAGATTTTTTTCTGAAACCTGAGCACCCTGTATCTCGGAAACGAATCGTTTTCGGACATTATGTTGATATGAATTCTGTTTCTTATTTCGACCTAACAAATACCACATCGAAGTTTTGTGCAGTATTTATGAATCACCCTGTATGCCCAAGATACCTCATTAATATTGTGGCATTTTGGACATATATTAGATATACAGGGTGGGCCACCAGTAACGCCTCGGTCTCTAGAAGGCTAACCACTTATCTTCTTGGAATTCTTTCTCTCTAGGAAGTTGCATGTCAACATAGACTACCATTTAAAATTATTTTGAAACATACAGGGTGTCCCCAAAAACCATAAAACACTGAAGTTAAAGTTTTTTCTATCGAACACCCTATATATTATTTCATTTTGAGATTCTCCCTGATGAGCTGATTTCAACGACCCATCATACTTGGGGTCTAGCAGTTATAATTACTGAAATATAGGGTGTGAAAAATCGAGATTTTCCAAGTTCAAGAAGTTTTTGTGTCGAAACTATTCATAATTGGCCAAAACGGCTTACATGTCCCTATCTCAACTTTTGATTAACTATCTACTGATATTTAATTGGGACATATACCGGGTGATCAAGATTCTGAATTCTGCACCACCCTGTATTTTTTTCAATCAAATGTCAGTAGATAGTCGATCAAAAGTTGAGATGGGGACATGTGAGCCGTTTTGACCAATTATGAATGGTTTAGACACAAAAAATTCTTGAACTTGGAAAATTTCGATTTCTCACACCCTATATCTCAGTAATTATAACTGCTAGAACCCAAGTATGATGGATTGTTGAAATCAGCTCACCAGGGAGAATCTCAAAATGAAATAATATATAGGGTGTTCGTTTGAAAAAAGTTCAACTTCAGTGTTTTGTGATTTTTGGGGACATCCTGTATGTTTCAAAATAATTTCAAATGGTAGCCTATGTTGACATGCAACTTCCTAGAGAGGAAGAATTCCAAGAAGATAAGTGGTTAGCCTTCTAGAGACCGAGGCGTTACTGGTGGCCCACCCTGTATATGTTGTGACAGAAATTATAATCTGAATATATGCATGTTAAATCTGGATTTCATACTGAATCACTAGATTTGTGCATGTTTGGAGTCCCACTTTTCTGCAATAATTATTTGGAATAGCTGTGTTATGAATTTTTATATTAACAAATCTTCTTAGATTCATCTTTTGTATTTTTTCAAATGAAACAGCATCATAAGGCTTTTTTTCTTTCTTGATGACAACTCAAATTGGATGGTGGAATGATAATTGGTGATTAATAATTCTCATCAGATATTAGGGTACTAATAGCAGTTCCATTTGGTAACAGATGAATACTATAAGTTGTATTCCAAAACCGCATGTGGCCTGAAACGCCTTGTCTCAAACGTACAGCACAAAAATATATAAGGTGTTTTGAGAGGTGTTCTATTAGCAACAAACAAAACAATTCATATTACCAACCCTCCGATGCTCATTCATTTGTTCACTGCGAGATAGTTTGTGGAATACTTCAAACTTTTGAATTGAAAATTTTACATTTGCATAACATAATGATAAAAACATAAAAACACACCCTACTATCTGTATATTAAAAACGAGTCAATTTAGGCCACAGGTTGTTATGGACAAATAATCTATTATGAATATTCAAATGGACTCAAAATATATGTGAACACCTTCTACATGTATAAACAATCACAGAAATAGTTGATAATTTTCATTCATGACCTACTTCGCGTTCATTGAGGAATCATCTTTTATGACAACAATAAATGACCTTCAGAATCTGCAATTATTATTCAAAACATTGAATACCCCAAGTCAAAAGTTTTTGGAAAGAATTAAGACACAAATAAAATCGTATAATAAATATTGGTATACTAATTTTCGAAAACACCAAAAAAAAAAAAGTTCTTTTCCACTTCCCCTATTCGATTTTTTTGCTATTGGGCTTTGTTATAGTCTGTGTTACGAATCCTTTTGTACTTCCATTGGAGTAACATGCTTCATAAGAATCAGAATATTCACTCTTGATGTAGGTATTGTTGAGTGTGCCATTACTGTTTGATTTTTGGACACCGTTTGACTTTTCATCGTCCAAAGGCTGAAAAAAAAATCATTTCTATTATGTGTATGTACCAATAATTGTCAGATTAATAAGTTTCAATTCAGAAAACATTACTCATAATCAAGATAAGTCAATTGTAATTCGGAGAATGTGTGGTATATACAGGGTGAGTCAATCTGAAGGCATCGGGCTATAATGACCAAATGGTAACCTTTCTGAGAAATAATTTTATCCAGGCGCATGTATGTCGATCTGGACCACATTTTTAAAATGGTGTGATGAATACAATGTGTCCCAAAAAAGGGTGGCATATCAAAGTTGTACTTTTTTGAATGGAACACCCTATATTTCATTGCATTTTTAGATTCTCCCTGAAAAGCTGATTCCATCAATGCATCACACTTGAGGTCTAGCGGGAATGGTTACAGAGATATAGGGTGTTAAAAATCGAGATTTTCCAATTATAGGATTTTTTTGTGTCGAAACTATTCATTATAGGCCAAAACGGCTCACATGTCCCTATCTCAACTTTCGATTTACTACCTACTGACATTCAATTGGAACAGATACAGGGTGATCAGAATTCTGAACCACCCTGTATTTGTTCCAATTAAATGTCAGTAGATAGGAAATCAGAAGTTAAAATTGGAACATGTAAGCCGTTTTGGTCTATAATGAATAGTTTCGACACAAAAAATTACTAAAATTGAAAAAACTCGATTTTGAACACCCTATATCTCTGTAACCATTCCCGCTAGACCCCAAGTGTGATGCATTGATGGAATCAGCTTTTCAGGGAGAATCTAAAAATGCAATGAAATATAGGGTGTTCCATTCAAAAAAGTACAACTTTGATATGCCACCCTTTTTTGGGACACATTGTATTCATCAAACCATTTTAAAAATGTGGTCCAGATCGACATACATGCGCCTGGATAAAATTATTTCTCAGAAAGGTTACCATTTGGTCATTATAGCCCGATGCGTTCAGCTTGACTCACCCTGTATAAATATGTTCTTTCAGATTTTATAGGCGATAGTACTCGCACCTTTTGGAACTTAGTTTTCGAGATAGCGGGTTTTGACGTTAGAAATATCATTTGTATTTTTCCATTAACACCCTGTATAAGCTTTCCTAGTTGTTATATGTCTTTATATAACCGTATACAAGAATTTTCATTCATATTAGGTCTTTATTGTTGTGATTTGAGTAAGGATAACGCAGTTCAACGGGAAAATAGATTTGTAATAGTTTTATAATTATGACAATTACTGATTAAGATTGACAATCAACAAATTCAATTCTTTTCTTAAAACAAAACATAGAATATGTATACAGGGTGAACATATATAAATAAATACACATTGAAAAGACTACATATTCAACATTTATTATTTTTTCTTGAAAACCATCAAGCAAGATGCGAAAGAACTCATGGAACAATGGAGTTGTATCTTCTATTGTTAAATCGAATAAAATTGAGGAATTTATGAAAAAACAATGGAACAAAATGATTTTTACCATTAATGTCAATCAGGTATCCCTCTGGGACGCCATTGGAATAATTACGGTGAATCTAGTCATTCTCAGATATTGAAGATCTGTTTATTCGAGAAGAAAAAATCACATGAAAGCCTGTGTTTGATTTTTCCGATCAAAACTCTCTAAACTAAAGAAGTTCTCGGGGGTGGATCATCATTTAACGTGTCATCTAGGTGTCATCTACTGGTTTCAATCACTCTTTTCTAGACGATTTCAAATACGTTCCATTGATATTTTAATAATATCCCTCATCATTGGTCACAGTCCATGGACTTTTACTTATTTGATCATAAATTTTATATTTAACATGTCATTTTGAATTTTCAACTCATAAATTATTTGACCAATTTTGATCATTTCAGCATTAGGAGAATTATAGATTTTTCACTTATTCACTATAATTCATAATAGTAGGAGAGCCGACTGCAGATTTTTACCGTGAAAACGAAAATATATATGTCCAAAAGTAATGTAAAAACATTCTAGTTCGTCGGACTGAGCAAAATGATGAAAAACTGGCACTTTCCTGTGCGGAAATTTTGCACTCGATTACGCGATTTGATAACGAGATAAGAATTATGTCATTTGATACCAGTTGAATGGTGAGTGGCAGAGCGTCAATATTTCCGTGAATATTTCCCCCTCGTCGAAGGATAATATCCGATGGACCAGTGTGAAAGTCATGTGGTGCTCACACTACAAGTATTCTAATCCACATGTTGAGTCTTACACTGGTCCATCGGATATCATCTTTAGAGGGGGGGTGAAATATTCAGGGAAGTAATGACGCTCTGCCACTAACTTAGATCAGTTTCGAATCGCGGTACGTTTGGATATTCGCAAAGGCGACATCATCCCCATCTATTTGCTTATTGTTTCAACTCGTTATCACATGACGAAAGTATGTCCGGAATAATAGCAGCAAATAAATCGCTGTGCTGTGGATTTGTATCAGACTGAGAGGTGGCACAGGTAGGTTTTTGAAATCTACCATCCAGTTCGTATCAGATGGCATAACTCATACCTCGTTATCAAATCGAGAAATCGAGTGCAAATTTCCGCACAGGAAAGTGCTATTTTTCAATAATTTTGCTCATTTGCATCATTTAGTGATTGGCAGAGGTACCGTTTGTACTGCGCCTGATATTCATGCCTCCTTTTAGTTTTATTCGCTGAATTTGATATTGTATAGTTATAGATTAGAGTAAGGTTGTTCAGTGGAAATATTGCGCCCTGTATTGACTGGAGAAATCTCGGATAGTTGATGGAAAAAAAAAGGAACAAGTTGCTAGGGAGAGACAGAAAAACAAAGGGGATAGAAGATGAAGGGAGAATCATCAAATGATGGAGTTGTTGGAGATATAAAATTGTGAAATATCGAAGAAAAGGTAGCAGAGACATAGCTGTTGACGTTCCAGAGTTCCAGGAGTGGAATCCAGCAGCCAAACATTGGAGAAGAACGAGGTATTTCGGTGCTTTCGATATTTGCTTGTGATTGACAATTTATAAAAATTCATACTGACAAGCAGTCGCTGTCAAAAGCAGATCGCTGATATACTGCATGTTTTCGGGATAATTTCCACTATTGAATTTTGAACGCTGCCTAATGTTGTGATTTTGTTGAGGGTGTTAGAGTACCTATTGTTATAGTCGGTAATAGATCAAGCTATTGTTATTAGAGTAGTATCTGAGTTTATATTCCTGGCTGACCATAACATTTGTTATTTATGATCAATATAGAGTATTGTCGAAGTAGTTCGTTTCTTGATTGTGATCCTCAGAACAGGAAAGAATCCAGAATTTGTATTGTAGCTCATCACACGTTCCATAAACTACAATGTTTTTACATGCCTTTGGGACATATGTATATCATTTCGTTTTCAGATGACGGTCGAAATTTGCAACCGGTTCTTGGACTATAATATTTCGTTTTTTTTTTATATTATTCACATACCATTCACTACTTGATATTGAGGGTTGCTAGTTTCAAAATGAAAGCCCTGGATATTGTTTTTTTATGAGACCAATACAGAAAGTATGTTAGGAGTTCATTTATATGTGATGCAAAGTTTACTATTCTAGTAATGTAGCTAAAAATGATATCAGGGTGAGTCAGTTTTTCGTAAGAGGACTTCAATAGAGCTCAAAGAAGATACTATTTTAGGAAAAAAAATCTTATGTATTTTCAGAAACAAAAACTCCAAAATATAGCACTCGACGAGCTCTCTTCGTAAATGTGGACATATCTGAAATATTCAGATTCTCAAGGCCTACTATTTTTTGTTGAAAAGGTAAACATTTCAAAAACTATTAGGCAATATTTTTTGAAACAGTGTCATTGTAACTTCTACAGGAAGATCTCTGAGTCAACAAATTGAAGTTGATATTTTTTTCCTGAGGAAATATTCTCCATACACAACAATTTTCATTGTAATCTCAAATTTGCATTCCATTTCTCCAACATCGGTATATTATAATGATCACATCAAGCATCAGTATAAATTCTTGCAGTCTTTGGAGAGTATTTGTCATTCTATTTGTTTTATATTCGACAGCTCTTGATCAATCGAGACAATTTTCAAAGTTACTGAGTGGTGAATTGTGAAAAAAACGGCTTACTTGCGATTTCAAACAAGTGAACCTCAACTTTAGTTTTATTCCTTTTGGGTAGAGACATTTTTTTGTAGAACTAACTTGTAAGTAAGTGAAACTTCGTATCTAAAGTATTCTATGTGTTTCTTCATTGAATGACGACCTCACCGGTCATATTAACTCCTTATATTTTATTACAGGGTGTATAAAAAAAGCGAAAATTTTGGAATTTTACATTAATAACTATTACCCTATATGAGATATTGCGTTAATTTTTTTTATGAACGCATTTCAGGAATACTTGAATCGTATAGGCGCTTGTCACCGTTTCGGAAAAAAATGCCTAGTAGTCGGTTTTGAAATTTTGACCCCTTCAACAAATGAAAGTAGACCTTAAAAATCTGAATATATCAGATTTGTACACATTTTCGAATAGAGCGACTACTATATTATGGAATTTTTGTTTTGAAGAATTGGTCGAGCTCTAAATCACGAGTATATGAGTAGGTAGCCGCTTTTTCAATATACAGGTGGCGTGATATTTTTATAAATTTTGTTGTGTCTTTCAAATGTTTCCATTGAGTTTCATCAGAACAGATCAGAACAACATCAAATGTTTAATAGAGTGTGTTTGAAATATTAACGTTTCATCACAAGTAAATAATTTTCGGCATTTATCTCGAAATCCATACAGTTTTCGATAAACATAATATACAAGAGCTAAAAGTATCAAAATAAAACAGATAATCTATATCAATGTTTCATTGAAAGCAGATGCAGCACGCAGAAAAGTTCAAGAGGGTTAAATTGGGTACAACCTTCAAAAGTGTATCACCCTGTAGGTAATTGAAATCGCCTAATAGCCCTTGATATTGAATTTTTCAAGTGTAATAGGTATACCAAATGTTAATTCATTATTTCGAAAATTGTATGAGAAAACTGGAAAAACATTGAAAAATCTCAAACTTTGACTGCATGTATATCTGAAACGACGTTATCATGCATATATTATATTCACATGAACTTCTCATCTTGAAAATACGTGTTCTAAGCTGTGAAAGTCCTGCTACAAAAAACTGACTCACCCTGTATTGTAGCGTCGAAGAAACACCTTGTTTCTGTTTACTTACCATACAAGCGCCATTGTTGCTATTTCTCACAGCCTTCCTCTGATTGGAGTATTTGACTTTATAAAAGTCAGAGAAGAGGAACAAAAACATAACTCCATGAAGGGCAATCCATACCATGAAGCCTTTTGGATAGTTGCATTCCGTGAAGAGAAGTTGGAACTGGTGGGTGAAAATTGCTACGAATTGCAGCTGAAAAATTATGATCAAATTATTTTTTCATACAAGATGTCCCAGATCAACGTAGCATAAATTCTACAGGGTGAACTAGACGCCAATATAGACTGATCGAAATCAATTTACCTCTATACGAAAATTCACCGTTTCAATTCCATTTATTCAATAAAAACATTTTTACAATACAAGGTGTATGAACAAAATCTTCTAAAGGGGTCATTGGACATAATAAGAATGTAAAACATACAATGTGGAACACTTATATACGCCACAGAATCACCCTCCAAGGGAGCCCTCAGAGGCGGCCGATGCAGGCCTCGCCGATGATTTTTGTCTAACAACCCTGATGACAGTCATGAGGGAGCTGACTCCTACCTTTAATCCAGCTCATGTCAGTGAGTTGCCCAGGGCAGCTGTGCCCAGGTGGCCAGGTGCAGAAACCAGCACAATTAGTCGAAAGCTTAGTAAAGTTCAGAGGATGGCCTGCCTGGCGATCACAGGAGCAATGAGGACGACGCCAACTGCAATGCTGGAGGTACTGCTGGGGCTGCCGCCGCTTCCAATCTGGATTAAGAGGGAAGCAATGGCGGCCTATCTGAGGATGCGGGACTCTGGGAGTTGGGCTAACGGAGGAGCAGTGACAGGTCACGCGGAAATTGCGACATGGGTGGAGCAGGAGATCCCTTTCTCCACCCTAAGAGTGAAGAACGCCCAAAATAGGCTGAGATGGAATAGAAGGTTCACCCTCACTATTCCAAGCAGGGAACAATGGGAAGAGAACAGAGTGGAATTCCGCCCGGAGAGTCTAGTATGTTATACGGACGGATCGCGCCTAACTGACAAACAGGACTCAGGTGCAGGAATTTACCTAGAAGGATTAGGCATAAGGGAGAGCTACGCTCTTGGAAAGTATACCACAGTTTTCCAGGCCGAGGTCTTTGCCATTCTGGCAGTAGCGGAGAGGCAAGAGGTGAAAGAGGGACCAGAGCAGAAGATTTACATCTGCTCGGATAGTCAGGCGGCTCTCAGGGCTGTCTGCCATCCTAAACCAAGCTCAGCTTTGGTGCAGGAATGTGGCGATGCTCTTGAGAAACTAGCTGAACAGAAGGAAGTCGAACTAGTATGGGTTCCGGGGCACAGGGGGTGCCCGGGAACGAGGTGGCCGACGAGCTGGCTAGAATCGGATCCGCGACACCGTTCTGGGGACCGGAGCCTGCACTGGGCATAACAAGAAGCCAAACTTCGTCTGCCCTTAACAAATGGGCGGACGAGGCACTAGAAGTATACTGGAGGCGTATAGGCGGCTGCAGGCAATCGAGAGACCTGGTGGCCGGTCCAAGCAAGCCAAGGACGGCTTGGTTACTGGGCAGGGATCGCCAAGTCCTGCGCCTTCTTATAGGGATACTGACAGGGCACAACAGGTTACGCAGACACCTATCACTTATAGGTGTGGAAGATAGTCCCACTTGCCGTGAATGCGGAGAAGATGAGGAGACATCACTTCACTTCCTCGGAGAGTGTGAGGCGTAGATAAACTACAACAGGAAGATTTGGTCGAATTAGAGTGGACGGACATCCTGACCTTCATCAGAAGGACGGGAAGGTTCGAAAAGGACAACTAAAAGAGGGATGTGTAGATATGTGGAGAGCAGGGGTTGGCAAAAAAGGCCCATGGGGGCCTACTTGCCTGGCTCCAGCCTCCCCACAATACTACTACTACTACCCAGGGCAGAAAAGTTTGATTGTCGGTTGCTACCTTGTTCTCTCTAATTTACCATTTTTGTGTTCGAAAAAAAAAATCAACATTTAAAGACTCTATGAGGGATGAAAGGTGGGATAGGTGTGGGAGGGTGATTGGGATCTAATAAATTGATTTCGACTAGGAAGAGATTATTGGACAAAGCCCTCACAAAGAGATAACCGAATACACGTGTTTCGGACTTTCGGTCCTCATCAGTACGGTGAAAGGAAGTGCAAAGGATAAGCAGCACTTGGTAGAGAACGAAACAACCAATAAACGGAGTCAACAAACAGAAGCCAGCCGCACATTGGTGGTGATGGATCCTGAGTCATATGTGACGTGGAGGCTCCACCAAGACGAGTACATTCCCATCCTCATGACACTTGAGTCCGTTCCCAAAGCCTGCACGGATATTTCAACCTGCAATTGTTCGTCCCACTGCCTGACAACAATGTGCACGAGCAAGAAGAATGGACTGACTTCCACCAAGTTGTGCCACCATTCTCACCTATGTCCTAACTCTTCGAATAGTTGATTAATTATCATTTTTGTATTATTGCCTTCAGCTATTGACACTAGGACGATTTTTTCATTATCTTTTCACAATCATGCAATAAACAATGTTTGAACTCTGGAATGGTCGTTTTCTTTACTTCCTTCGGCGGCCATCTTGAAGCCCATGCACTCCAAACTTGAGGTGAGTAAATTTGAAGCACTGCAATGTATCAAGCATCTGAGAAAACCCCTGAGCAAATGTTTGAATCATTATTACAAGCCAACGGAGATATGGGGCAACAGAGTTTTGACCACCATCTCGGCCGTCATCTTGGATACCGGACTTCCGGTCCAAATTTCGCTTTGGCAACAGGCAGATTCGTATTCAGCGGGGTCGAAATACCCTAAAAACGTTGTTTCCCCAATTGTTACATGATATGCTTCTTGCATTGTTAATTTTTGAAAACGTGCCTAGTCTATAATGTTCATACGACTATCAAAATGTATATAGATAAAAAAAACTTGTGTGTAGCTGTGGTAGAACCGACCACACGTCGGAAGTGATGATGGTCGGTGGGTGAGTATTCCCAATTCTTTTGGGCAATACGGGGAAAATCTGAATGAAGTAATATCAATTTAATGTAATATTTCCACATACTCGCGAAGAGGATATAACTAAAAATATTGATGGAGCAATTTCGAGAATGATGAATTTCAAATTGCATCTTGACAAAAGTATTCATTACTCACTTATAATTATGCCGATCTTATGATACGCGCGCTTCCGTGACTCAAGTTAGCCGGTTTACTCTCATCCCAGAAATTGCCTAACAAGCCTATTCGCGATAGAAAATAAGCATACGCCACCTATCGGAGTTTTTGAAAGCTGTCAAACTCGCTGTCAAAGCGGTGTGTTCACTTTGTACTTATTGGTTCACATTTGTTTTTATTTGTGCTTATTGGTCACATCTATCAAAACAAACCGCTCAAAAGTATTTAAATGTTGCCGTCAGGTGAGGCAACGTGTTATTTTTTATCGCGAATAGAAGTTTATCACTTCAAAAAGCCGTCATATTGTAAAAAATACAAACATTATTATTCCATTGCTTAGACTCGGCTTTCAGATAAGTTGAATTCCAATCAACAATAAAATTCAGAAAACTGCTTCCCAACTTCCTAGTATGATGAGCTGGAAGTACAGGGTATCCCAATTTGGGCACTTTTGCGGGGTATCTCCCTTATCAGTAAAGATAGAGCATTGCGGTTTTCGCGACAGTGTGCTACTTTTTTATGAAATTAATAATGGCGCAAGCAGAATTGTGGTAGCTCTTCCGGTTGTCTAGATACAGGGTGGAATTGAAAAATATCACCCCCCGTGTCTCAGTTATCTTTGAACTTATCGAAGAAGTTAAAACTCGTTTTTATAGAGTTTTTCCCGTAGAATCCAGTGACGTAGTTATTTTTTTGCTAGCACCTTTTGTTTTTTAGTTATAGAGCAAACATATGTTTTTTTAAATGGAAAATAATTGTATACAATTATATATTTTTGGAAAGCCCACTTCATGCTCAATGTATATATGAAATAATATACAGGGTGTTCCATTTAAAAAAACATATGTTTGCTCCATAACTAAAAAACAAAAGGTGCTAGCAAAAAAATAACTACGCCACTGGATTCTACGAGAAAAACTCTATAAAAACAAGTTTTAACTTCTTCGATAAGTTCAAAGATAACTGAGACACGGAGGGTGCCTGAAAAGTGATATTTTTCAATTCCACCCTGTATCTTGACAACCGGAAGAGCTATCACAATTCTGCTTGCGCCATTATTAATTTCATAAAAAAGTAGCACACTGTCGCGAAAACCGCAATGCTCTATCTTTACTGATAAGGGAGATACCCCGCAAAAGTGCCCAAATTGGGATACCCTGTACATTCTTAGAGCACTTTGCCTGTCTCTATCGATGGCTTGATGATAATGTTTGTTTATGTCAAATAGTACAATCAAACGGATTTCGTTACCATTCAAAATTTGAGAGTACTTGCACAACAATATTGAGTGTATTAATGTGGTTTTATTCTTACCATTTGGAAAGAGGTGAGGTATTTTTTCCACCAGATGTATTTTTGGTACTTGGGTCCCATAGCAGCAACCATATAGTAGAAATACATGACTATGTGAACGAAAGTATTGAGCAGTGCGAAGAAAGTACTGTGACCGCCTGAAAATGAAATAATAATAATAATAATCTTTATTATTCCCAAGAAACATATATGTTTATAGCAGGGAGAATTATGAAAGAGCAACTAAAAAAAAAATTAGATAATCAAATAATCATTTTTAAATTATATACATAATACATATGATGTTGTTTCTTCTAGATCTAGAGACTGTTGAATATAATTTCTCAGTTCTTTTTTGGATTTCTCAACACTTAATTTTTTCTTTAGTCTGGCAGGTAATTCATTATAGAGAATTGTTCCATTGTATAAAATAGATCTTTTACCCATATCTGATTTGATTTTGATGAGAGTCAACATATCTTTTTGTCTGGTTATGTGTTCGTGTTTATGACTATTGACTTCAAAATTCAGATTTGAATGTTTATAATTATATTTGACGGAATGGATGAAATTTAATATTTTGAATTTGTAAATGGAGTCAATATCTAACAATTGCCTAGGTTTATAAAGATTTCTTGTTGGTTCCAAGTAATCTAGTTTGTATATACATTTAATAACTTTGTTTTGAAGGAATTTGATTGGCTTCATGATTGATAATCTAGCTGTATCCCAAACTGAAATCAAGTATTGTAATTTTGAATAAACCAAGAAAAAATATATACATTTCAAGTATTTCAAAGTGATTTGGTGTCTGATCCTGTAGAGTACTCCGATTACTGGAGATATTTTCTTTCTGATCGATTCAATATGTTTGGACCATGACAAATGTTCATCAAGGAATATCCCAATATCAATAAAAACAGCTGATCTAACCATACTTTATGTACATTAGTCTTCAGAGATCATGTCGCGGTTGGACGGTGTCAGCTCTCTCATTGCAAGGGCTATTAAGAATGCTATCATCGCTCTATACACCAGGCATGGGCATTGGGCAACCTTTCTGTGTAGGGGCGTTACCACCGATAAAACAGTAGGGGGCAAAATAGATAAATTCAGCAAGGACCACGGGCCGGGAACGTCTCGTTTGACCCAAATTTCGATTCTTCGATTTTCGCAATTTTCGAGTCACCCAATCTTCGATTCACCCACCGTCTCCGAACATACCCGAAAGATGCGTTGTTGCCAAATAATGCCACATTTTCTCGGATTCAATGAAACGAGAATTATCAACAATCATTTCACATTCAAATATGTCGTTGGGCCAACATTTCGTTTCACCCAATTTTCGATTCGCCTAATTTTCGATTCGCAGATGTCTACCGTCTCTGATAATGAAATGATATCTGTCCCAAAGGAATGTAAAAACATTGTAGTTCATCGAACGGCACATGTACCTTCACCTGCACTATCCTGAGCGAAATGGATAAAAAATAGCATTTTCCTGTGCGGAAATTCGCACTCGATTTCGCAATTTTATAACGAGATGTGAATTATGCCATCCCATACCAATATAGAATGGTAGATCTCAAAAAGCTACCTGTGCCATTCCTCAGTCTGAGCCAGCACAGCGATTTATATGCTCCCATTATTGCAGAAATACTTGCGTCATGTGATAACGACCCAGCCAACCATGAGATGTATAAGTGATGTATACGCCACATCACATTGTGACATGCGATATCGCATTTGAAGTCACAAACATGTTACCGATACAACGTGGCGATGTGAAAATGTCCGACTCAAGCAACATTACTGTGACGTCGTTCAGACATGAAATGCGACATCACATGAAAAATCACTACCAGGTCACATACAAGCGTACATTTCATATTAAAAATATATCACACTGCGACATCGATGATGTGGTCGCCGTAACTGTGATATTCGCAGAATATATAATGATAATTATTCAATTTTACGAAGAAAATGTTTATTTTCCGAAAGTAAAACAGATGATACAAAACTTATCATGACTATCACCCTAATTAGTAATCTTGAAGCAAAACATGACACATATATATAGCAATACAAATATACATTATTCATAAATGATACATATCAAATACACTACATTATCTTGGGATCTTTCATTCACCTTGTTTTAGATTGCAATATTCCTATCTCAGAGATAATTACAATATTACCTATTGTGATTGAACTCACCGTCGTTCCTAAATGATTGTATACCTCCAATTTGAAGCTGCTATAATATGTGCTATAAATCATCTCAGATATTTCAACAGAGAATTTGAAAGGAAATAGTCTGTACGGAGTCGGACTCAATCACTGACTGACTGACATGGCCATGCACAGCTCAACATGGCGTCTGGCGTGTGCGTTCGTTTTGCGCATGTCTGCGTCACACTCACAGGTCATAAAGATATCTCATGAGGATATCAATGTGAATTATTTAGTTAACTTCGAAGAGATGTAGTTTGAAGAAGTCGCTGCCACATTACATAGTTTCCTGGTTGCGATGTCACCTTGCGACGTTGATATCGAATCTACGTCGATAAGATGTGTTAACGAGATATTGCATTTATGCAAGGTTGTTACATCACACAGATGTTGATGTCACACGATGGTTGGCTGGGGAGTTGAAACAAAAAGCAAATGAAAGGGAAAAATGCCCCTTTTGCGAATACCCAAACGTGCTGTGATTCAAACTGATCTAAGTTATGGGCAGAGGGTCAATATTTCCGTGAATATTTCGCCCTCGTCTAGAGATAATATCCGATGGACCAGTGTGAAACTCATGTGGTGCTCACACTACAAATATTCTAATCCACATGTTGACTTTTACAGTGGTCTATGGGATATTATCTCAAGAGGGGAGCGAAATATTCTGGAAAGTATTGACGCTCTGCCACTAACTTAGATCAGTTTGAATCGCGGCACGTTTGGATATTTGCAAAGGCGGCATCATCCCCTTTCATTTACTTAAATCGTTGTGCCGTGGATTTGGCTCAGACTGAGGGGTGGCACAGGTTGGTTTTTGAAATCTACCATTCAGTTAGTATCAGATGGCATAATTCTTATCTCGTTATCAAATCACGAAATAAGTGCAAATTTCCGCACTCGAGTGCAATTTTTCAATCATTTTGCTCAGGATAGTGATTGGCACAGGTGCCGTTTGGTGAACTGCAATGTTTTTAAATGCCTTTGCGCCTTTGACGCCTAATGCAGATTGAAACCATAAAAAACAAAAACAATTTCTTCAAAAATATATCCTACCCTCGTAGGTATACAGGGTGACATAGAAAAAAGTAGGTACATTCAATAGTACCACACAATAGAGGACACTGAAATGAGAAAAAAGTTACCATGAACAAGGGTCCGCAAGACCTTCGGTTAAAAGATACGGGAGTTGAATTTATTTTTATTTTATTATTTGCAAAAACAACGACAAATACTTCAACAATCACATTAAAAAACACCTGTATCCCACATTTATTTTTATCCATTTCTTGCATCTCTGCCTAGAGATATTGGAAAAAAAACGAAAAAAAAATTATAATTCAACACTCCGTATCTTATAACCGAACGCCACAACTTCGCCAAGAGTGACACTTATATTTTTTGTCATATCTTTCACAAATTCGCCTTCTGATTGAATATTCGACCACTTTCTTCGTAATGATATGAAGAAAATCTAGATGCGTCCACTGGAACGTCAGATGTCATTGGCGGGCCTTGCTTATAAGAAAAGGAAAATTCATTGGAAGGCTGGACATTTTTTGCGGCCTGCGGGCTGTAGGTTGCCTATGCCTGTAGTATACGCTATATGAGCACTTTTTCAATCCCCACATTTTTCTCAAAAATGTTGAGAATGACGCTATTTGCAGATAAGCTCTCAATAAAATTCGATTCTTTCTCACGACTAGAATTATGATACTTTCGAAATGTGTAGTAATAGTCAGATATAAACGATTTTAAAACAATAGGCTTATATCACAAAAACTTTTTATTTCATAATTCGATAGAACTCACCCAAACTAGCTCACCACCGCAAACCGATTCTTGCTGTGAGCTCCCTACGTTTTATAAAAAATTATTGAAATCCCCGATTTTTCGGACTTCTGAAAACGAGGCGATGATGTGACGTCAAAACCCTCTAATACTGAAACAAGACTATTCCAGACAGAGATGAATGATACATGATTTCTGACAGAGTGAATTAGCGCGACATCACAGTTGAAAGAATTAATATATCAGTTGCCTCAGTCTCCGTCGGGCGTTTGGTATTTTCTTTTAACTATGAAGAGATGAGGTTTCTACGTCATAAGAGGGTCCGTTTTCAGAAGGTACTATTATTTATGTCCAAAAATCAAACATTTCAGTTGATTTCTCGATCGAATTATGTCGTCTAGTTCTAGTTCTACTAAGGTGTACACGCCCATTAGGATAGCTTGTTCTTCTTCTTCATATCAGTTGCAATTTTCGAATTATTTTTTCCTTACCTGGAGCAAATTTCATTCCCATCCATACCGAAAAAGGCATACATCCATGGTGGATAACGTGTAGCGTTGATACGTGACTATTTTTCTTCCTTAAGATGAAGAACATGGTATCAAAAAATTCGGTGAATTTCGAGAAATAATACCACCAACAGGTATTCGCCATCTGGAAAACAAGTTCGAACATAATTAGCAGAAATTACCGTTAGAACTACTTTCTGACAATTATTAAACCACTATGAAATATTATAGTTATAGTAATTATAATGCAAAAAGTTTGATTTTCAAGAATTGAAATAATTGAGATATCATCATGATTTCAGATACGAACTAATTTGACTTTAATTACATCACACAGTGTGTCCGGCGACAAATAAAATTGAAGAATGTAATACTCGAAAATAACTAAACAGATAGTACAATGCGAGGTACTATGAGACCATGAAGCTGAAAGTTTAATAGACATTTTTTCAAATCAAAAACTGATAGCCTATTTATACAGGGTGTAACTAAATAAGTGTAAAACATTCGAGAGGGTGATTCCTCATCGGAAAAAATATAGAATCTTTCATATAAAGAAACTTCATTGGAGCATCCCATGTTAAGATACAGCCCCTTGAAGGGGGTACATAAAATTTGTTCAACAATTTTTTTCATAAGCACTCAAAAACTTACAGTATTGAAATTGACCTGACATTTTCTACACCCAAAATGACAATTAGCCAATAATTCATTTGGTTTACCCCATTGTTGAATCCATTTAATCATTCAACGCAGGTAGTAACTACAAAATGATAGTAAATCCAGTTCGCATTTATGAGGATGTATCTCTGTAGTTTATCGTAAAATATTTTTTTGCTGCCAACTGGTTTATTTTGGGCGAAAAATGCAGAGGACATTTTTTGTTTAGAATGAAACAGGCTATCGGAAATGAATTTTCAAATGATAAACAAATGAAAATACAGTTACATTGGAAATAAAATTTAGGGGTTGCGTTTTCCACCCCTTACAACCATGGGGTAAACCAAATAAATTACTGGTTAGGTGTCTTTTTGGTAGTAGAAAATGTCAGGTCAATTTCAATACTGTAACTTTTTTAGGGCTTGTGAAAAAAATTTTGAATAAATTTTATGTACCCCCTTCAAGGGGCTGTATCTTAACATGAGATGCTCCAATGAAGTTTTTTTATATAAAAGATCCCATCTTTTTTTCGATGAAGAATCACCCCCTCAAATGTTTTACACTTATTTAGTTACACCCTGTATATTCCGTCTGTGCATATTTCGAATTTTCATCAAGAGCGAAATTAAAGCAGTAAGCTGGAGTATGTCAATCGACGAATATTTCCAGAAAAAATAAAGCATCACGAGTTGTATTCGAATGAATATTTCATGATTGAGACAATAAACGAGCACCTCGCGATAGTTGCGCACACTGCATCCGTCATTCTGGCTTCCAACATAATTGACGTTATAAACGTCAAAAACTGTATTACTGAAAAACGAGGTTGGTTGGTTGGTTGGTCACGTGTGGGTCAATTCGGCTTGGTAGGGTAAGTGTGATAAATTTTATCAAACAAAAAATATCGCTGGAATACAGGAGCATCTGTGAAAATGATCGATTCAGAATGGTTCTCGAGAACAAGAGTGGAATAGTCACCACAAAATGAGAATATGAAATTTTCCCACTTATAATCACCATAAAGTATGAGTTACCCATTCCCAGAATTTCAATTCTACCTCGGGGGTGATTAGACACGGAAGTTAATAGTTTTTTGTTTTAAACTCAAAAACGCCTGAAATTTTTTTATAATTCTTGGTGATTATTTTTCTTTCGAAGTTCTTTTCTCAGTTGGCTTTCCTGGTTTTTTCGATGGTTTTTTCTATTTCAAACCACGAAAGCTAGAGACACTGTGTATAAAATAATAATATTCTGTGTATAAAATAATTATATTGATGATAGCCCAAGGGGGAGTAGTACATCCATTTAATCATTGGTGTGAAGTCTAGTAGTACACCATTTTGTGACAATTACCTCAATTGAATTAATCATTCCAGAATTACGTCATTTGACATATTGCTGAGGGGCAAACATTGTATTTTGTCAAGATTTGTCATATAAAACCAGAATTAGTGGGATCGTTTTCCTTGAAATCCGAGTTGGAACCACAAAGAATTCCATAATTTTGCTTGGTGAAACTGTTATTACATTGTGGATGTGGCAGGGATGGCCAGGGCTATGCTCATCAAAGGTAACCTAACAGATAGTTTGTGTGCCCCTCGAGAAACCATGTCAAAATCACGTGTTCTAGAATGATAAATATTTGAAATAGCATGCAGAAAAAAATTTATAATTAATTTGAGAAATTGAAATGATGTATATCATTCATTATTATAATTTTTTCTGTGAACTATTCACCGTTAACCGTTAGCTCCGTAATAATCGAGGGGTAAATCACGGGCTGAAATTGGGTACACTAGACTTCCTTTATTGAAAGAATTCCCGGAATTCCTGGGACTACCCAAAGAATTCCTAGGAATTCCCAAAGACTACCCGGAATTCCTGGGACTACCTAAAGACTACCCGGAATTCCTGGGACTTCCCAAGGAATTCCTAGGAATTCCCAAAGACTACCCGGAATTCCTGGGACTACCTGAAGACTACCCGGAATTCCTGGGACTTCCCAAGGAATTCCTAGGAATTCCCAAAGACTACCTGGAATTCCTGGGACTACCTGAGAAATTCCCAGAGACTACCCGGACTTCCCAAGGAATTCCGGAATTTCCTAAAGATTTATCATACATCCCAAGGAGTTTTCAAAATTTTGCGTAAAGATAGGTAGATTACGAATGAGTTCCATTCGTGAAATGCAAAAAAAGTCAATCGATAGGTAGGTTGAATTCAAACCCAAGGACGAAACTTGGGCAATGAAAAAACATGTAGGGATTAGTGATAAGTACTCGGATGAGTATCATTAATTCATTAACACTACTGGGTGTTTCTGAATTCAAGTGACAGAAGCCTATACAGGTTTCTTCCTATTTAAATAAAAAATTAGTAGGTATACCATTTACAGATTTTGCAAAAAAGTTCCGGTACACATTGAAAAAAAATCTGGTTTTTCATCTCAATGTTATGAACAAAATTCTTTTGCCGATTTGAATGATAATTATTTTAACAGCTCATTGAAGTCTTCTTGAGATATCGTTCGGAACTCTTTAATTTGCCCAGTTATTCAAGAATTGTGTTTACGACAAGTGTTCCACTTTTGTTCACGAAGAATACCATTAGTCGATTTTCCCAATTCATTTCAGATGAAACAGTTGAAAATATAGTGAAACCAAGATAAGGTGATATAGGGATCTCGGGAACAGGAAAAGAAACGGATTCGGTTGAATGGGAAACAAGTTGCGCATTTTGATGATCATACCAACGGCTTTGGAAAATGTTCACAATTATTGTTTTTAGTTTTTCAGTTATACAGGGTGTTCCTTAAGTACGTGTAGAAAATTCAGGAACATGTTGCTGACGTCAAAATAAGAAGAATAGTTCGTATAAATATATGTCCGAAAGTTATTCGTTTCTGAGATACAGAGGGTCAAAGTTGAATTCTTATTTTTGTTTTTTGTTAATAAATTCCGAAATAATTGTGATAATCGAATGAAGTTTGGTATCTAGGGGTATTTTTCAATGACAATATCAAATTTTCTGTTAGTTTTTCTCTTTGGTGGGGGTGGCGCCACCTACATGTCTTTTGAATTTTTGAAAAGTCATAACTTTTCTGTTCGTACCTGTATCACGTTTTATAGTAAGAAAATAGATTTCTAGGACACTTTTGTGTAAAAAGTATATTTTTGGTAGAGGTCGATGGGAGCAACTGTTTTCGAGATATTGGGATTTGAAACAATCGATGCATTTGAATTATTTCCATTGGGCTCGTAAGTCGACTCCAAGCAGTTAGAAAAGATACGTCAGTGCATTCTTACTTCTTTGTATCTATTTTTTTTGGCCATTATGAACAATTACTTTAATCAATTCCCTCAACTAACTGTTTTAGTATTTATTTGGTCTTAATTACAGTTATTATTATCAGTATTGTATTATAATTACACCCGATTCCTATTTTAAAATGGAATAAAAAAAAATTTCCTTACCTACTTGATAAATCAATTTTGAATTCCTGGCATTGATTATTTCAAATCCCAATAACTCGAAAACAGTTGCTCGCAGCGACCTTTACTAATAATAATGTTTTTCACTCGAACGTGTTCTAGAAAACTATTTTTCTACTATAGAACGTGATACAGGTACGCACAAAAAAGTTGTGACTTTTCAAAAGACTCAAAAGACATGTAGGTGCCGCCACCCTCACGAAATAGATAAACCAACATAACATTTGATATTGTCATCGAAAAATGCCTCGAGATACCAAAATTCATTTGAATATCACAATTATTTTGAAATTTATTAACAAACAACAAAAATAAGAATTCAACTTTGACACTCTGTATCTCAGAAACGAATTACTTTCGGACATATATTTATACGATCTTTTCTTCTTATTTTGACATCAGCAACATGCTCCTGGATTTTCTATACGTACTTAAGAAACACCTTGTATAAAGAAAGTGAATTTTTGGAATATCTATTTGTTTTTCTACGTTATTATTAGATATATAGAAAACTCTAAAAATACTTTTACATGGCAACTCTTGATGAGATTTAACGCGGTGATATTGATTTCTCCACGCGACGTTTCGTATTCGTAGAGAAATCAACAACTTTTTTTTCAAATACGGCTCTGATTATCTGTTCACAGATTTCGAAAGTTTTTTTTATTCTGAGTTCAACCATGGGGAATCATAAACAATTTTGTAAATTTTCGAAATCCATTGGTATGACCAAATATGACCCTTGGAATGCGTATTTTTTTTCTCATTTAACCGAATTCGTATCTCTTACCGTTTCCGAGATCCCTCGCGAGACCCTCATGCTGCGCAACCTCGTGCGCAACCTTATTATGGTCACACTGTTCAACTTTTTTGTTAAGTACCAATATCTATCGAGAAAAAATAGTTGAGAGATTGAAAATGGCAAAGATTTGTTATATTCAAAATGAAAGTAAGTGGAAAAATTCGAGAGATCAGACGACTAAGTTTATGTAAAAAAATAATTAGAAGAGTTGAAATAATTTACTAGGTATTTGAAATGAACATTCTCAGATATATTTATGAACACAAAAAAATGGATATATATATAAAGAAATACATTGAGAATTCGCATTCTCCATGTGATAAAAATATCAATTCAGAATTACTTTCCACAGTTTCCACGTCCTGTATGATGAATGCCAATTCATTATACAGTCAAAAATTACTAGGTATCATTTCTCGTGCACAAAACGTCAACCTTCTGTATCTAGGAATCGGCAATAACATGTCAATCAATGAAAATGATCGATCTATCATTGTACAAAAATATAAGGAAATGAAGCGAAGGTTGAAATAAAGTAAATGATGATATTTCTCCAATACCTACCTGTATTATTGTATACATCTTTGAATAGAAGAATATTGTATTTTTTCAGCTTTTGTGCAAAAAAACTTCAAAATGTTTCTTGAGATTTTTCTCTATGCCACATGTCTGTAGCAATAAAAGTTTTGGCCCCTATATCAAGATTGTTTATGAAACTAACTCTACAGTTTATAGATCGGCTCATAGTAAGTCGCTAAATTTCATACTTATATTTCTGTGAACTCGTTTGTCCGAATTGCAGATATACAGGCTGTCCCTAATATGTATTCAAAAAAGAATACTTAATATTCCTCATGAGACCAAAACAATACGAAATATACAAGCAAACTTACTTCAGTACAAAGTTGCTTAGTTTGAGCCTTGGTTAGAGTGCCAGACAAGTAGACAACATGTTTTAAATTACTAGAATTACGAATTTTTTCGCTATCATGAGAGTAATAGAATTTCGTCAAGAGTACCTTCTAGATGTTTATTTACTGAAAAAATTTAATTCTACGCCTAGTATGAAATGATATTCATCATAATTTCGATCATTATCATGATATGGGTTTTATTGCTTGATAAAGCTATGTCAACGTACGTCAACGTAGGTACAAAATTCTCCAGAGCTGTTTAGCGCCCGAACTGAGCAATTTTATACTTAGGTAGTAGGTAGATTTGATATAATTCAATTGTTGTGGTCTGAGGAATATGTGGTATTTTTTGTATAGACCTTTTAGGCACACCCTGTATGCTATTTCAAAGTGTTCAATGAAATTGATTAACATTTACATTTTGTGTAGGCCCCATATTGGATTTCAAGTAGTGTCATATGGTTTTTGTATTCTACTTGTCATTCTCTCTTATTTGGTACCCATGCCGAGGGAATTGTAAACGAATTCAGTAGTTATTTACCAAACAAGTGCGAAAAGTAGTACTTTACCGCACGTGACGGCTGTTGCACGAACGACGCGGGGCGGAGTTCGGGCAAGGCGTCAATAATTGTGGAAAAGACATTTGCCGCAAGAAGAGTGAGGTTTAATGTTTTTCCACGAGTGTTTCTGTCCATATTATTATTATTTGAGTAAAAAAAAGGTTTTTAATAAACAAGATTTTATAACAATGCTACAAAATGACAAAATAGTTACATAGATCATTTAGTTAGTCATAAATATCCCCATTTTCAACAATACAAAAATCGTGGCGAAAAGTAACTTTTCAGCACTAGTGGGGTAAAGTAACTTTTCCGCACGCTCGTATAAAGAGGATTTTTTTTTTGTCGGCGGCCATATTGGATTTCAAGCTTTGTTATTAATTGTATTCTACTTTATAATAACCGTATTGAATCTGATAATACCCATATTGACCAGACCCAAAGATATGTGTAAAATTTCAGCATGATTGGATATCGGGAAGTCGTCGAAAAATCGATCGCCAGACAGAACTGAAAATGTTCAATAAATAAGAAATTTTTCTCGATCTTCTCATCTTTCCAAATAATTAACAGGATTCCAACGGGAAACCTTGAAGAGAATGAAAATTCGACTGACTAACATATGATATTCTAAGTGGGACAAGGTACTCTCGGTGCTCGCGGTACCTCTCCGTCAAAAAAGAAATCAACAAAGTAGGACTTGAAGCAAAATACTGTGCAGTCCATATAAATGTTTTCTTTGCGCACAATTTATTTTCTTATCTGAACATCGTCGAGAAATTTGACTTCAATTTCCTGAAAATTGCTGGGACTAAGTTATTCACAAAGAATACCCAAAGAATTCCCGAACTTCCCAAAGAATTCCTCGGACTTCCCAAAGAATACCCGGACTTCCTCAGGAATTCCCGGACTTCCCAAGGAATTCCTGGACTTCCCAAAGAATTCCCGGACTTCCCAAGGAATTCCCAAAGAATTCCCGGACTTCCCAAAGAATTCCCAGACTACCCAAGGAATTCCCGTCTAGGGTACACCGGACTTCCCATGTGATTTACCCCTCGGTAATAATCAATAATTAGTCATACGAAAAACAATCGAAATCTTTACTCCGAAATCAAAACCACTAAACTCGATTTATGTGAAAATAGAGGTTAGAAAAGACTACATAAAACATCGAGATCACCAGATCGAATTGAATTTTTGTGTGTCAATAAATAGAAATTCAAAATACATCGAAAAAAATTATCGCTTGGGTTGCGAAAGCTTGTTCTATAATTATGATTATCTATTTCTAGTTATTCAACAATTTTAAATAGTATGGCACATAATGATATAGAATATACAAAGTGTAAGTATATATTGGACACAGCATTATGATACAATCGAATAAATATTCCAAACAATTTGGATTTTTCTTGAAATTGAAAAAAAAAATGGAGTAGGTGAGTACGTCACTTCAAGACGATTAAAACTATTGAAATTCACGTGGTTTTTCCTTCTGCATGAAAACTTGTACGGAGGTGACGTCAGAATTGTTACAGTGTAGAACTTTGAAAAATATTTTGATATCCCCATATTTTCATTCGATATAGATAGTGAGATAGAAATAAGTAGCAATCAAAAGTTAAGATAGGGACATGTAAGCCGTTTTGATCAATAATGAATAGTTTCGACACAAAAAAATCCTAAATTTGAAAAATCTCGATTTTGAACACCCTATATCTCTGTAATCATTCCTGCTAGACCCCAAGTGTGATGCATTGATGAAATCAGCTCTTCAGAAAGAATCTAAAAATGCAATAAAATACAGGGTGTTCCATTTGAAATAACAAAGTTGCTAGTTGTTTCTGATAGAAGTGGCAACACTGTATCGATGAAAATATTTTAGACGGATAGAGAATGTTCAATTATCGGAGCATACAAATTTTCAGAATGTTTTGTTTTTTCGTTCTCCAGATACTTCTAATAGGCCATCCACCGTGGATCAGCCTGTATATTCGAATGACAAGAATAGAAAAACTCTTTTTATTTTCTTCAACAGCCGCTAAATGTTTCACTGATGAAACTCACAGATCAATTAATTTGACTATCTTTCCAAATACTTAAAGACGGAGACTGTAAAAATATGAGAACAAAAATATAACTTACCCTCATTGCCATTGGGCTATTTGAATAATCTACAGGTTGACACCTGAAGCTATAGCTACCCCACCATCCACTCATCAGATACTGAAAAAATAACGAAATTACAAATCATACCGAGATAACTACTCCATAAATTGTAATTTTGCATACAATCTATACTATAATATTATAAAGAGGAAGGATTTGATTGTTTGTTTATTTGTTTGTATTGGATAGGAATATTAGCAATATTAGTTGGGGCCGAAAACGTAATGTTTTTTATTCGAAAACCTATATACGACACTTCGATGTTCAATTACTAAAGGACCACCCAGTATAATCGTTGGATCGACTTACATGATGAAATAAATCGAATTACAATATGAAAATAACTGAAAAATTAAATCTCGTCGGACTGGAGAAACCACCCAGGTTACAACAAGAACCTATCAAATCAAGGAATCTGGAGAGGTTTTACGAGAAGGTTTTACCTTTAATTTGTTAGTATATTTGGTTGGACCGCGCCTAAATAATGTGATATAAGGCGGCCGACAATTTTTTTGTGTTATACTAATCGAGTTCGATTAAATAAACGCAATTTCATTCATTAACTAAATGAGTTTTTAGTCAAGCCTAAAAAAGGCAATAAGTCACTTACATATACGTGAAACGCGTCAAGAGATATGGGTTGGTCGACCAAGCTTTCTATATCTATTGTTTTTTTGGTCAACTATTTCTACAATACCACGAATTATTTCAACTCGTCGAGGTGAGCAATTGGGCATTCTTATAATTTCCACATTTATAACCCTTCACTATAATTTTTTATAATGTAAAAGTTGGTGACATAACCATTCTTATCCCCATGTAAGCACTCTTATTCTCATCACTCTTGTTGATTGTACTAATAACTACTTCAATTTTAGGACAATTATGTTATTTCTGATTTAAGGCTGATGATGGACATATATATGTCCAAAACATGTATCAATTTTTGATGTGTTAATCACATCAAATGTCGTGGAGATGACTTTGTGTATCATTTAGTATTCAAATCCAATTGAACTAATAGTCTTCGCACGGTTGGTGTATCCATGTAAAAAAAATTGTTGCAGTCTTTCTGAGCTATGCGCGTATCTGCAGTGTTATTTTTTTTCTTAATGTTTGTGCTTACCTTTAGCTACTATTAGATACTTACACCTTTTTTCATTCTCTCAGTGTCTTTTGCATTTGTTTTTGTTGTTTTACGTATTTAAAATTTTAACCCAATCGGTCAAGCCGTTTAGTAGTTGACGTACCTACAGCAGCGCCAACTACCGCGTCCAATTTGTATCAAATCAAATCAACTTTATTACTAGATCAAAGTGTAAATGGTGTACAACTAAGACATATTCACATTTTGTCCAGCTTGTCACAAAAAAAGGAAAGTGTAGAAATATTACACATACCTAAGAAAATTTTGTTTACACAAAGACTAACATGCATGCACTCTTAATAATTATTAATTAATGAATACTACACAAGAAAAGTTATTTACTTATCACAAGTGAAAATTACACAGCCAAAATTTTACTGAATTATGTTATATCAACGTTTAGAAAAAATTCTTCAATACTGTAGAATGGCTTACCTATTAAGAATTTTTTCAATCTATTCTTGAACTGATTCATTGTGCTAGAAAGTTTTATCGATTCATCCAATTTGTTGTATGATTTGATGCCTATATAATTTGGATCATTTTGGCCGATTTGGAGTCTTTCAAAGTGTAACTTACCTCTTTCTCTTGTACCATAATCATGTACACAATCGTTCGTTTTGAAAGAGGTTGAGTTCTTTCTGATGAACACCAAAACCTCGTAGATATATAAACATGGCATTGTCAGAATGCCCAAACTGATGAAGTGTTTTTCACAGTGTGAGTTGTATGGTAACCCCAGCATCAATCTGATGGCTTTTCTTTGTAAAATAAAAATCTCTTTAGAACTTGCGCTATGGCTCCAGTAAATTATTCCATAACGAATAACTGATTCAATTACACTGTTATATAGTAGTAATAAAATGTTGTAAGAAACTGTGTATTTTTATTGCCTCAAAAGAAACAATTGCTTATGCAACTTAGATCCTAGATTTTCAATGTGGGATTTCCACGTCAACTTGTGATCAATTGTTATACAAGGAAAGACTATTGTTTCAACTTGCTCAAGCGATTTCCCTAACTTCAGTAAAATGCTACTCTCGTTTTTGTAGTTTTTTTGCACAAAATTTATGAAATGTGTTTTTTCATTGTTTAGAATTAAGTCATTCTTCAAACTCCAATCGGCTATTTGCGTGACTGAAGTCTGTCCCAGTTGTTTCAGCATGTTAGTGTCTTTTGTTCTCACTATAATATTAATTTGTATCATCTGCATATATAACAGTGCTTATCGATAAATCTGAACAGAAAGTAGGAAGATCGTTAATGAATATAAGGAATAGCAAAGGCCCCAGAATGGATCCCTGTGGAACTCCTCTATTGACAGTTTTACTTTCAGATGCTATGTTATTTATAAACACACTTTGAGTTCTATTCTCTAGATGGGAAGATATCCACTCATATGCACTCCCTCTGACTCCGTAGTAATACATTTTTGTGAGTAACAGTTTGTGATCTACCATATCAAAGGCTTTGCTCATATCAAAGAATAAACCCATTGTATTTTCTTTGTTTTCAAGTGACTCTGTTCTGCTTTGTATAAGAACGATCTTTACGATAACCATGTTGTGAATTAGTTAGTATTTTAAAAAAATCATCCAGGAAACCATCGAAATACCCATATAAAATTTGAACCCAATCGGTTCCGAGAATCGTTTCAGCCGTTTAGAAATTATGTGAAAAAGATACCCAAGTACTGAAGGATAATTCTTATTACCCGTTGTCCTATTACCCGTTTCCCCGTAGGAATGAAACATTTTGCCGCGAAAAAGTAGCTTATGTTCATCAGGGATAATGTCGGCTCCAAATGGTAAAAGAATTTTCCAAATCGGTCCAGTAGTTTCGGAGCCTATGCATTACAAACAAACAATCAGACAAACAAACAAATAAACAAATATTTCCTCTTCATAATATTATTAGTATAGAGATATACAAGGTGACAGGAAACTTCCCACCCTCGATATCTTCTTTCCACTCAATAATATGAAAAATCGAGAAGACAGGTCAATTTTATTTTCAAGGGGGACACTTAACATTATTATTTTTGCCCTCTTGGTTCAACCCCCTAGAAGGGGTAGATGTTACCCTTAGAATCTCAAATGGAAAGGGGGGTCAAGTGGAACAACATTTTGAAGGGCGTTCAATTCTCTTTCCAAGAGTACCCTAGTTTATCATTTCCTGTTGAGCAGTTTCCGAAAAATGCCGTGTCAATTAGAAAACTTTTCACCCTTATTATCTTCCTTCCAGTAAATAATATGAAAAATCGAAAAAATAGGTCGATTTCATTCTCAAGGGGGACTCTTTAAATGTATATTTGTAGCCCTCTTGGTTCAACCCCCTATAAGAGGGGTAGATGTAACCCTTAGAACCTTATATGAAAATGGGGTCAAGATGCACATTATTTTAAAAGGCGATTAATTTTCTTTCCAACAGTATACCCTAGTTTATGATTTTTTGATGAGCAGTTTCCGAAAAATGCCGCTCTAAACTTACAGAAGTAATTAGAACATGCTTGCACTAATATGCATTCAAAATCTTACTATATCATTTTTGTTATGTTCTGGTTCTCACGAAAAGGGATATCCTGTAATGTTCAGTGAACATCGTGAGAACCAAGGGAAATAAGGTAGGTTCTCCTTAAATTTCTGGAGGTTATATGCCTCGGGGAACACCTCCCTTGGCAATGTGTTCCAGAGAATCGCTGTTCGTGGGATGAACGAGTCTTTGGAAAGAGATGTTCTGCAGGTCTCCAAAGTGACCAACAAGGGGTGCGAAGCCTCAATTCGACGCAGGGACTGCCAAGGGAGGAACAATTGTTGATATTTCAGAAGAGCATCGTCCATGAAAATATCTATGAAATAGAGCCAGATCGCCAACTTTTCTATACGGTATTCCAGAGAAGTGAGTGAGTTTGTGAGCGAGGCATCACCCACGAGACGAATTTGGACTGAAATGAGAGTCAATACAATAATACTAACCTGAAAACCATGCATAAATCAGTGCAGGAATGTCCTTATTACTTCTGTAAGTTTAGAACGGCATTTTTCGGAAACTGATAATCAAAAAATGAAAACTAGGGTATTGTTGACAAGAGACTTGAACGCCCTTCGAAATAATGTTCATCTTGACCCTCTTTTTTATATGAGGTTCTAAGGTTTACATCTACCCCTCCTAGGGGATTAAACTGAGGGGGCTAAAAATATGCATTTTGAGTTCTTCCTCAGAAATGAAATTGACTTGTCTTTCCGATTTTTCATATCACTTACTGAAAGGAAGATATTAAAGGTGGGAAGTTTTCTAAGTGACACGACATTTTACGGAAACTCAACAGAAAACGATAAACTAGGGTACCATTGGAAAGAAAATTAAAAACCCTTCAAATTAATGTGCTATAGTTTTTCCAAAAACAATTGGAGAGTCTCGTGCTGTACCTGCAGTCACTTCAAACGGAACTTCAAACACGCCGACGCCGCACAGTGTGGAATATTCTGCAATTGATATTGGATATAGCATACTTGACCCCCCTTTTCATTTGAGATTCTAAGGGTAACATCCACCCCTCCTAGGGGGTGGAACCAAGAGGGCTAAAACTAATTATTTTAAGTGTCTCCCTTGAGAATAAAATCGACCTGTTTTTTCGATTTCTCATATTATTCTTCGAAGGGCAGATATTGAGGGTGTGAATTTTTCAAAATGTCACCGTGTATAATATCCATGTTCCATTTAAAATTAAAAAATTATAGCATCACTTTTCGGTGATTGATTTACAAGCTAGAAGTGGGACGTTTATTGGATACTATTCTTCACATTCAGGTCATTTCGCAATACAATCATTTATATCCTCAAAACTGAAGGGAAAAGCCTCGGAAAAAGGGATGTACCTATGTCCTATAGGATCCTGCTAGAGTTCGTACTAGAGCCGCTATAAAAAATTGAATCAATATAGAATGTCGGACGTTGAGGCATCGTCCACCAATAATTAGAATATTGGTGGACGATGGTTAAGGTGTGGCATGAGTGATATTAGTACGTACACGCAAATTCACGAGCAAATTTATGATCATTGCAACCCCTTTAATCATTTATTCAATTATGTCAACAATACGTAATTTTTTATTGTAGAAAATATTTCAGTAGCAGGACTCCAACAGCTGAGAGGAAACATTTTTTTAAGATGAAAATTCTATGTAAACATAATTATTATATGCCTGAGCTACGTTTCCGATATACAGGGTTTCAAAATTTATATAGGATTGGTTTTTGTGTTTTTCCAATTTCCTCCTAAAATTTCCAAAATAATGAATTGAAATTTGGTACACCTATCACACTTTGGGAACGCAATATTTGGGGCTATCGAGCGTTAAACTTCAACTTTAGCTCCTAGACACTAAGAGTGTTGCCTAGCAACATACGTACTAATCATTTTATTGTGTCATTAAGAGAAACGCAACTTCAAGTGATAATTTTGGAACAAAAATGAACGACTTTTGAGCTGATTGCAGAAAAACACATTTTTCTAAGATGAAAACCTCATGTAATAGTTATTTGTTTAACTAGGCAGCAAAGTAGTAGATTGACTGCCGTGGCTGAATTCATAGCCGAGCGTAGCGAGGCTAGGAATCCAGCTAAGGCAGTCAATCTATTTTGCTGCCGAGTTGAACATATAATTTTTTCTCCGATTGTTCATAATGATATGGTGGAATATTGTATTTGCGAATTAATACAATTCCCACAATCTCTTTATTCCTCCTGTATAGTGTTCAATTAAAATTGAATCTGATAGAAATCGCAGTTGTTGGTTTGACAATTTGACAAATTTCTGACAGTTGTGCGAAAAAATATCGATATATTTAAATTATTATATAATGGACAGTGATAGCGACCTGGAAGTATACTTACACCTCTATTAATAAGGGAGGTGGCAAAAAATATAGAGTTGAATTTGTTGCCGGAGAAGTCTCGGATGAAATATGAAGAAAATTATAAACGATTTATGGATTTTTAATTTTGCTGATACATATCAATCAGCAAAGTAACCACTTTGCTGCCTAGGCAGCAAAGTACCCACTTTGATGCCTAGGCAGGAAAAGTAATACTTTGCTGATTGGTATGTGTCAGCAAAATTAATATTTGCTGCCAATCGGAGGAAAACATATATGCGTGGCGGCTTCGTTTCCGATATATATACAGGGTTTCGAAGTTTGAGATTTTTCTTGAGTTTTTCAAGTTGTCTCCAACATTTTTCAAAATAATGAATTGAAAATTGTGCACCTGAGACACTTTGGAAACCCTGTATATCGGAAACGGAGCTCCCACGCTTATATATTTTTCATCTTGAAATTTTTTTCTATTCAAGCTGTTAAAGTCCTGATACAAAAAAGTGACTCACCCTGTATAAATCTGGCGATTTATTCACAATAATGACACATTACGAACTGTGAACGGAATCAAGGAACATATCAAGGCATTTCTTCGAACTTACACGGAAGAAAATAATTTGTTGCGAACAACAAAATGATTCTGGTCAATTTTTTGTTGTTAAATTGAATATACTATAACAATTTCGATAAAATATATTATTATACAGAGTGAGTCAGTTTTTTGTAGCAGGAATTCAACAGCTTGAGGAATACATATTTTCAAGATGAAAAGTTCATGTGAACGGAGCTTCGTTTCCAATATACTGGGAGTCGAAGTTCGAGATTTTTTCAATGATTCTCTTTGATACACTTTTGGGGGTTGTATACCCAATTTCAACCTCTTGAACTTTTTTGCTTGCTGCCTCTGCCTTCAATGACATCAATTCAGATTCTCCGTTCTATTGGGATACTATTTGCTCTCTTATATGTTTTTCGTAAACTGTATGGATTTGTAGATAAATGCAAAAAATAATTTACTTGTGATGAAACTTCATTATTCGAACACACTCTATTTGACATTTCTCAATAATTCACCAGAAGACCTGGAATTATCAAGAGCTTCCATAAAATGTGTTAATGAAACTCAGTGGCAAAAACACAAAAAAATATATAAAAATATCACTTCCCCTGTATATCGGAATTCAATTCATTTCAAATGAGCAACTTATTCAAAACGACTAAATATTTTCAATTGAAATTGTAGAACTCTATTTAACAAAATTCATAGATGACTTGTAGAAGATTCTGTTAAATCAACTACCATTTCAGAATTCAATCAATCATATACAGGGTGTTTCCAAAATTGAAGCATCGAATGGAATAGATGATAGAAGACGAGAAACAAAATGAACTGAAAAAAAATGTTTGGAAGATATTGAGCTCTGAAGTATGGCAGATATTTTGTAAATCATTGATCAGAGGTTTATAGCTCATCAACCCAAGCGTTTGCTTTCGGCGGGATAACAAGCACCAGAAGTATCAATGACTTTTGCAATGTTGCAGGACGTTCAATAGGTTGAAAGATGTAGTATGGTAGAAGCCCCAACTTCTGAAACATCTCCGTTTAGGCGTTTTCTCTATTTGAAAAAAAGGATTACAGTGAAGTCAACATTATATTTTGTTGACGAAATAATCATTCCATCGTTCAATCAATCATATTTTATGAATTTTGTGTAGTTGACAAAAAATATATCGCAGGACCAACATTATATTTTGTTGATTGTACCGACAGCTGAATTTTCTCTAGACCATATTATGATGAACCTTTGAATAAATATTATGTATTCTCTTATTTCAACAAACTACAAATAATGCTGCACAAATTATGTATAAGTGCCTTTTATCCGCTGAAAAACTTAAAATGTTTCAGATTTCTCTCGGTCTTGAAATTCAATTTCTTGAAAATTATATTATTCTTTATTATTCTTCAGAAGAAATGTTATGTAATATGTTTAAAGGGCACCAAAATAGTCTGTCAGATGTAAATACAGTTGCATGTCTTCCAATCAAAAGCACGTTTCGCTATATAAACAATATAAAATGACTGAGGAATAACTCAGAGTGTCTCATTTCTCAATATTTCATTCTGTAATGACATATGCCTTGATAGTGTGGGGTGCATCAACTCATTCTACAAAAATCTTCATTTTACAAAAAAATGGCAGGAGTACAGAACATTGCAAACCATTATTCAAACGATTCAAAATCTTAACACTAGCCTCATGCTTCGTATACGAATGTCTCATTCACATGAAGAGAGAAATGTCTACTACTCGGTCTGGAATAACTAGAAATGAAGATATACATGAAATACAAGAGGAAAAATGAATATAAGATTACTAAAACCAAGAATTTCAAAAACCAAATCTTCGTTCAAATATCTCGCCATGAAATTTTTCAATGTTCTTCCAGACGAACTCAGATGCCAATCTTTGAGTTTACAGGCGTTCAAGAATCGAGTCAAAAATATTCTAATTGAAAAGAGTTTTTACACATTTGATGAATATCTAGTATTTTTTTCACGTCGAAACTTCAAACTATTTTGTCATTGTTTCACTGTTTTATGTATTTGTGATGTCAAATTTCTCATCTATTTGTGATATATACTCTTATATGTAACTCGTATCGATCTATTTTATCTAATTTTACCTGATTTTAACCATATATCTTATTATATTTATTTTATTTTATTTATTGACGTATGTATAAACACTATTGTGTAGTAACATGAATGAATCTATCTCGGAATCTATCTATCTATCTATCTATTGATATTATTGCATATTCATGTCCTTTATAACTTCATAACTGAAGAGTTCTTCTGATTGAGTTCTTCTATTCATAACATTATAATTTCCGAGATCATTTCGATCAATGGAAAGGGTTCATTAGAGCGGAGACGGTGTAGGAGCAAATAATTTTTTATCCATTCAACCAATTATCGCTGTTCAACTGGAATATTGTGATGCGGTAACAAAATAACATGTCGTGGATATATGACAATCAGATTTTGTTGAATTCAGGAAATATTTGTTGCTTCTAACAGTTTTTTTTTTTTTCGTGTACTCAGCATTTAATGAGCCAACCATATGTTCCGAAGTTTACTGCTTGTACTCACTTCATAAAATATCCACGCGCTAAATATAGTTTGTACTAGATTGTAAACTATTAGAAGATTCCTGAGGTCTAATGGTTTCCTATTTTCCATTAGCCTCGGTCCCAACACTTTGGAGAAGTATGCATAGAAAATACATATCAGGATGGTGGGAACAGGACTAGACATCATTGGCCAATTATTCACCCGAGGATCTGAAACAAGAAAGTAAGTAAAAAGGTGATCCCTGATAATTTGATGACTAGTGATAATGAAAATGAGGCATTTTTGTGATGTTCACAAGGCTAAGGCGTAATATTTCCCCATCCGATTAAACAATACATTTAAATATTCGTACACATCAGATTAAAAGGATTTCTCATTTCAAAAATATATATTTATTCACTCCAAATTCCGAGAAGAATTGCAATCTTGATTCATAATCTATATGACTCATTTATGATGCAGTTTCCTAATTTCAGTATTTCTTAATTTTGTTGTGAATAAACATTGATTTCAAATCTTTGGTATCATGCATCACCATAATCTTGAATAGAAACATGGATCATTCACAATTTTCCTAATCTGAGTATGTATTGTATAATTTTCAAATGAAAAATTATTGAACCTTGCATCAAGAGCATCATCATACTATGGATTCAGTATGTATGTACCTAAGTAATTCACCATTTTCTTCATTTTACTATTGAAAACATTTGAGGTGAAAAAAAATTCAACTTAGCATGAAGTATACTGAAGTATCCAGTAATTTTGGATAAACGGATCAAAAAGACATGAGTGAATCATCGCCATCACAATGCGGATAGGTAGAAATAATGATAATTCAAAATGTCGATATTAAAAAATGTGTACTTGTATAAAGCGTCATCAAAATCTTGATTCAATTTACGTTATTCTCTTTTCTCTTCATGTACCTATATCTGAAACATTGAATGAGACAATTTTTTGAATGCACTAAAACTACTGAGGATTTACCCCATGATATAGTGTTCCTTTTATCTCAATATACCGATTGAGATCGGTTGTACAGCTCTGAATGAAATGATTGGGGGTGATTTCTCTCCATATTTTATAAAAAAGTGCTCATAATTATTTGTCCAAACTTGCAATATATTTTCGAAATATAGGTAGTCCGGCTCGTAAAAGATGACCGGCGGAAAGATTGTGAGCACAAAGCACAATATAGATGTTGCGAGTTGCGATCATCAACGTTCTGTGTCATCAACTGACTGTCAATAATTTTAAAATCTCAAGGGCTCGCTAGAAGTGGTGGCATCAGTTTACTAGTGTGATCATCGAGATCGTTCGTGACTTGATGAAAGCGACGTAATCTGCAAAACCGAATTGAGAAGTTCAGCTGCTTTGAGAGGGAGAAAATGTGTTCCCTAGGTCTTCCCCGTCTATCCTTGTCTTCAGTGTTTCAACGTGAAATAATGAAAATTTTATTTTGGCAACATTGGAAATGGGAAAAAATGGAGAAGATCATATTAACCTCAATTATAAAAAAGGTGAGAACGGTTTTCTTTTCCATTTCTTCTCATTTCGAGTATGCCAATATAAAATATATGATGGCAAATTTCAAATGGGTGCTGCACTGCATTTCAATTGTTTCCAGCTGCAATTCTGCAGATACATTTTCTACACTTTAGATATTCTAAGCACAGCAAACTAACGTCTCCCTTTTGTCCCGTGTTCTTTGGCGAGTCGAACTATACAAGGATTACAAGATAGATATTATTTTTTCATGAAAAAATTGTTTATTTACTGGTTACTCAAAAGTATTCTCGTCAATTTCGAAGAAACCTATGATAGTTTTGTGTAACATATGGAGCTTCACTTGGTGTAATTAGAATCGAAATATTAATTCCAGTGTCGTCGCAGTGGATAATATCATTGTACGCCACTAGTTCATCTATCTAAGTTTCACATTTTTAATAGATTGAACATTTGAAAATACTTTCTTGTGTTTTATGTTACTTTTGTATCTCGCTTAGTAGTCTAGTCCATAGGTGGTTTCTCAAAAACAAATTTTGGAGTAGTCGAGGGAGTATAGTTATGCATTTCTGATATAGTATATTTATTAGGATGCTGATCATGAATCTGAGGTTTGCCACCAACAATTTTCCCTGGAATTTGAGTTATAGCCCAAAAACCAACTTTTTGTGAAAAACTATTCAGTACTCGAATGATGAGAAGAATTTTTTTTTATAATTAGAGTATTCACATTATTTTTCGTCAAACATATCATTTTGACACATTTGATAGTTGAACCTGCATTTCTCATATTCATGTGGAAGCGTTATTTGAATCCATTCTGAACTGATATGGAGGAAGCCCTGGACAATTTGCCACTGGCGGAAGTTCAGGATTGCTGGTTCCAGCAGGATGGTGCATCTGCACATAACTCAAGAGCTGCCAGCAGAGACTATCTCTCACCCAAATTCACAAAAAGAGTGAATAGCACGAGAGACGAAATGTTGGATCAGATAATCGATGGTGCCAAATTGAAGAGCATCTAAAGTTGCCATGAAGATGTGTTCCCAGTTTTGTCATATATAACGCAAAAAAAATTATAATCCGGAAATTGGGTTTTTTAAAAATAACTCGAAAACAAAAAGTAATTTAAGAAATTTTCATAGGTCATTTTGTCGGTCCTTCACTCGCGCAACTTTCCTCCCATTTAACCAAATCTGTATCTCTCGTAGTTTCCGAGATGCCCATACTGGCCCTTCTTATCTTGGGCATAGTGTAGACAAACCCTAGGGCAAACCTCGGACCAACCATATGCCTCGCCATATGCTTGGAGTGAAGCATATTTTTTTCGATTAGAAAAATCGTTTTTTGTTTTGTTTATGATGCTATAAATCTTCTGGCCGCCAAACAATAAGCTGTTTGGTCTGAAAACCATCACATAATTATATCCTAGATTCATTTTGGGTCCAACATCCAAAGATTTGCACTAAAAATTCTTCTTCATATGTAAATGGGGATAGTCTCCGTGTAGTTTAAGCTCACTAGATGTTATTTCCATATTTAGCAGAAAATGGTCTTCGTCAAAAATCTCGTCAAGAACGTTCTACACATAATATATACATTATGATATATGGAGGTCCATATGCATTGAAGGGAAGTTAAATAAGATCGTTTTGCATGCGGATGCTAAGTGGTGAAAAGCATGCACTTTTGGAACACCCTGTAAACAATTAAAAAAAGTGAGCCTGAATTCACAGAAAAAGGTCTGAATCCGAAGAAAAAAGTGTGAATACGAATAAAAAAATACAATGACCGCTCTACGCAAGGTGCTCTACGCTTTCGAACCATCCAGCACCCTCTCAAACCCTTAAGGCCTTGAGTAGCATTGATATGAAGAATGATTATTTGATGTTGACTTAACTTTTGGGATGTGCATGGGTAATGTTCTATGTGCGACCTCTTTTACTACCTATCTGACTATTGACCAACATTGCACATTGCATGCCAAATTTTATTATCATCCATCAGATTCTGCTCGACATTTTGTATGTTATTAATTATATTCCATGAATACTTATCAGCTAATTGAATTATATTGCCTAATGATTCGTTATTTCCTATTTCATTACCTACTCTTCAGATTATTATTATTATACCTAATTACCGTTTTGGAAAATTTTACGTTGATTTTGAACGGTGCTTTAAGAAACTATAGGTATAATTTTATTTCCACTTACATGTTACCGATGAACTATCATTATAGAAATAACCCAAGGTCAATTATTGGAAAATTACAGAAACATTGAAAACATTATCAAAAGACGAAAACAGACAGGGAAATACAAGTATTCATACGCAGTGTTCCAGTTTTCGATGTTTTGCCATCTTTTGCGCGATATATCAGTTATCTTACTTTTTTGTGAAACGAGTAATGCTGGAAACAGAATTCCGATAGTCCTTCATGTTTTTGAGAAACAGGGCGAAGTTTAAAATTCTTACTTTTAGATCCCCTCCCGTATCTTCGTTACTTTTCAACTTATCGGCAGGATTAGAACGCGGAGTTATATAACTTTCTATGCATAATACAGTGGCGTACTAATTTCATTTCTGTAACCGCTTATTTTGAGAAAATTAAGCAAACAAAGTTCTATTAAAAACAGAAAAAATCTAATATGGTGCCTATTGGAAAAAATAACGTTGATGATGGTGCCCGGGAGACGAAACGTCAGTTAGCAAATCTGAAAGCATCATCATGTAGTAGAGAAGAAATGGCAATGCAAAAGTGCAGTTCATTTTGGAATCCTACAATAAATAAATCCAGAAAAAAATATAAAAACTAATTTCCAAAATTTCGGCTTTTTTCTGGTATCTCCGCACAAACTTGAAGCCTCGCTGTTCGTTGGATAAACGAGTCTTTGCGAAGCCTCAACTCGACGGGTTAATCTCGCGGGGACTGCCAATGGAGGACCAATTGTTGATATTTCAGAAGAGCATCGTCCATGAAAATATCTATAAAATAGAGCCAGATCGCCAACTTATCTACGGTGTTCCAGAGAAGTGAGTGAGTTTGTGAGCGAGGCATTACCCACGAGACGAATTGTCTTTTTTTGGACAGAATCCAACAGTTTCAGGGTATGTTTGGGTGCTGCACTCCAAATATGGAAACAGTATTCTAGGACAGGTCGGATCTGTGCCTTATTGAATAACTAATATTTCTCAAGTTCCCAATCGTATTTCAACACATGGCATCTGTACTATGGGGAGTCGTTAATCTATGGTACTATGGTCTGTCCCTACATACGAAATCGTGACTTCAGTTTTTACTGGCGGCAAATTTCTATCCGTTCGAAAATTACCATGACATTATCGATGATTCCAGCAAAATCCCAGGAGAATTTGAAATGAATATGAAATTGAACGGTATTTGAGTGATGATTTTATTTAAGAAATAAAAATTACTCCACTCGCCTATTCTGCATGAAAGAAAAGAAAATAATTTGTCATCGGTAACCTACATCAACTATTTTTATCACAGATTAAAATGTAGGTGGCATATTATAGGTATCTACATATTTATGAATAAGGTAGGTATATATTATGAAGTCATGATTAATAAAATAATCTCATTGTCACATATTATTTTCATGTTTTATTTATAGCAAGTATTTATTTACAAATGCTACTATAGTTCCAGTTATGTTCAACGTACCTTCTGATTGCTA